TATCAGCTATATCAGATGTTTGATACATAAAGCATGGATCCTTTTTTACTAACACAATTAAACTCATTTTGCCTTTGTTTCAGAAAGACTCATGTCCTAGACTAGGCCAATATGAAGGAGCCTTCCTGAGCAGCATGGATTCTGGCACTCAGCCCGTTGTCTCCAAAAGCTGGTTTTGGAGAGCTAAAACCTTGTGAAGCTGCAGCACATTCAGGAGCGAGGCAAGTGAACTGCAGGCACTTAGAAAATAATGTAAGACTTAAAAATTATTTATGGACTATTATGATGTATTGTGGCATTGTGTTAGTGTGAAGCCTGACCTGTAGACTTCCACTTTCCCCTTCAGTTGCATCCTGACTGTTTTTAACTCTGTCTTGCTTAAAGCCACGTACAAAGGTAAAAAAGCTAAAAGAATCACAGCATTATTTAACTTCGGTTTTAGGTAGACTGTGATTCTACTGTAATTTGACTATAGAGTTGTTTCTGTAGTCACCCTAGGTAGGTTCAGCATACAGACAGAAGTACACTTAAAAGCTGTTTTAGGCTTCTGCCAATGTGAATGTAGGTAGGAGTCTTTGTTCCAATTTCATGTCAGTACTGTCATTGCATGTGCAAAAAAAAATAGCGCTTATTTTCCTTTTGCAAGGCAGCAGAGACAGCTGTTGGTATAAACTTCTGGGTGTGCTGAAAACTGACACCAGTTTCAAGTTTTATATGCCTTTTTTAGATCAGAATTTGGTTACTGATCATGTGGTTTCATAGAAGTGATAGTTGTGATCTCTTGAGGTGAAACCATGGTGTATTTGATTGATTACATTATCAATAATTGTTTAAAGACTTGACTTACTTACCTAAAGAAAAGTTTGAACAGACAACTTCCAAAGCTGACTTTCAGTGGAACAGCACGCACCGTAGCAGTTCCTTAGTGCTAGTCTCCTCACAGGTCAGCATCACCCCTTTGAAGGATGTGCATCTCATTGAAGTTTCAACGCTAAGAGACATCTGAAGCACCTAGTAGAGTGACAGGGGTTTCTTCCAGCTTGCAAGGAGACACCTGTGCACTCCCAGTACACAGGAGAAGAGAGAGAGTTTACTGCATTCTGGTTTCATCAGTATAAAACAGTACAACTGTTGAACACTTATTCTTACGGATGAAGGATAAATTTCATTCATTTACATGAAAATCTTTACTTTTTCGGGAACTTTTCTTCCCAGAAATAATGTGCTATTTGTGTAGTGAACAGAATACTTGGCCTTTTAACTTAAGTACTTCTCATGGTCTTTTGCTATTGTTCTACAGCATTTGTGGGAAAGTAATAACAAAATAGTATGTCAGGAGACTTTTATGCACACTAAGGTGTGTAAAAGTAGGGTGGTTTTGGCTCCTGAAACATTTTCAGAAATGTTTTTGCTTCAGGTTTTTGGTTGTGGTTTCTTTTTTCCCCCCTCCCCTCCCCTCCATCACTCAAGATGTGGAAAACCTTAAGCATGAAGCTGAGAGAGCCCACGCAGCATATTTCAGGTAAGCTGCGTTTCACGCAGAATGTATGCTTAACAAGGTGCAGAGATGGATAAAGAAATGGCAAGCGTTCTGCCTTACACAGATGGACATCCCACTTGAGACCAGTCCCTCAAGAACAGCGGTCAACTAAAGCAGGGGTGCTTTCAGGCATGCTGGCATTCATTTTCTGAAGGCAAGTCTGCTTGTAATGTTACAAGGATGTTTCAGTTTGACAAGCACAGGACTAAGCCATTTAGGATCCAATTTTAATCTTCTACTTGCAAAAGAAGAGTAGTTACGATTTCCTTATTTCAGGAACTGCAGTGCTAGAATTAAGAAGGGGAAATCTTTGAAAGCAAAAGCAGCTTCTTCTCAGTAACTGGAAAATAGCCATGGTCTAGTTTAAGAATCCACTAGCAGCCCCTCTACCACTACAGAGGTGGTGTGCTGACGGGTGGGGGGATTGTCGAAGTTATTCTGGAGCTATACTGGACCAGAGCCTGACTTTCTCATCACACTAACGCAGGGCAGCTGCCGGTGCTGTGCCTTCGCCCCTCATCACCCAGCATTCTGCCAGCAGGCAACTCCAGGGAAGCTCCCTCCTGTCACCATCCCTGGCCCCTGCAGCGGACTCCAGCCCCGAGGATTGCTCTGGTGAGTGTCAGTTCACTGTTGTAACGCTTGGCGAGACGGGGCAGGGACCAGCCCCTCTTCTGTGGGGGGCTGCTACACACACCTACCGCCAGGAAAGGTACAGCATCACTCTTGGAGGCAGGGCATAACCCCCCTTGGAGTATGGTAACTCATGAATAACCCTGGCATTTCCAAACTACAAATGAATTAGACATAAAGTAGGTCTTAAATACGAACACACTGAGTAATACGTATGTACAATTTATTTAAAATACTTTTTAACATACATATAAAAACCCCTCACTATTTATACAGTCTAAGTTCTAGCAACATATACAAATACTGAGCAACTACAATACATGCTGAGGTAAGAACATACATTCTGGGAGAATACTCAAGCCAAAGAAGATTGAAATACATTTTATATCCATATGTCTTCACATGTAGAAGAGACCCATTAAGTGTACCTCTGCTTGTATTGTACACAGGAGAACGGTAATCTTAAGTGCGTCATGCAACTTGGATTTGGGAATCAATGTTTAACAGTTTGTAGCAGACATTTTTAAACCCACCCATTACATATTCCAACTTATCTTCTTAGCCCTAGCAGGTAACATGTTCAAAGTTGAAAGCAAGGAGCAAAGCTTGGGACCAATTCCTTTCAGAAGAGGGACTTGAATTCTTAAAAACCACCGTTCCGGTCAACAGCGCATGCTGCTCAGATAATGAAACGGCATTACAGTTGCTTAAAAAATAACCCACTGTAGAGAAACCGTTAATTGTTACACCATCTTAGCCTACCGTATATCCACAGTACTACCATACCTGGCCTACAGTAAAAATTAAATTCAAGAGTGTTAATTTTAGTGCCTTGAACACATCCATTGATTTTTATGGTAGATTGATTTTTCTAAGCCTGAACTGGTAGTTTGAGAATGCAGAGGTTCCTTAACTTGGCTGGAATAAATATGTCACATCTTGGTGCAAATAAATAACCTCCTGCCCCTTTTGGATAAAATCAGCTCAGATAATTTTGAAGTCATAGTTGCTATTGATGGGTAAGAACACTTACTTACCTGTTTAAGCGAAACTACAAAGACTGCAGACTGGCTTTATCAAGCAGAAAAAAGTTGCAATCACATCAAAAGTGCAACTACAGGCAGGAATTTCTTTTTCATGAATGGCTCTTATATACCACCCTTACTTACACTCACATTTAGGCTTAGACACCCAATTTAAAAAAAATAATTATCATTCTCAATGAATGAGAATGAATGATCAACAAATTGTAGAATTGGGCTTTAAGGTAGCAACAGAGTATGTAATAACATATTCTAGATGTTGAACAGGCCACGCGTAATTTTGGATTGCCGTGTTTATAGATAGCCCTTGTGCAAACAAATTTGCAAGTGGTAAGTCGGGATACGGTACTGGTACAAAGACATGGTGGCAGCCCTCTTGAACAGTATTTGGGTTTCGATTTGGAGGTTCTCCACCGCGTTTAAGGACCCTGGGCAGGAAACAAGGCTGACTTGAGTTACATCACAGAAACAGTAACCACCGAAGTCCATAAAACCGGGCTAATGTGTAGGTAGGGGGTTTCACGTGTATAAATTAATTCAGCATCCTCCCAACAGTCCTGTTACAATAAAAATAAAGCATTTTTATTGTGGGCTTTTTCTACTACTTAGGTTAAAAAGCTGTGCTTTGTTTCTAACAAGATTTAAAAAATGGCAAATACGACATCCAAGTTGGTTTCATTTCGTGATTACCTAGCTAAAACTAGTCTATGTTATCTCAAATAGAAGACTGACTGCAATGTTCTCATAGCAGAGAGCACTGGAACATTCAAAGGACACAAATTCAATTAAATGCTTCTGAAACGGACGCTCTTTGGAACAGTACTGGTTCTCTTGCAAAGGTTTTGGCATCTTTCTTTTATACGTCTAATAAGAACAATCACAAGAAAAGCTCTAAGGCCAAAGTTTTTCAGTTGTGCTAAAACGTACCATATGTGCTAAATGCGTGTATAACACAAACTGTGCACCATTAGAATATTTGTGTGCTTCCTTAAGCACTCACAAAAGTATATACGTATCTATCTTTGTATAAGCTCACTTCTTAACACACGACAACAGCTACTTTGGGGGGGCAGGGAGAACCTTTCTGAATTCAGTCACCTCGAACAGCTGGATGCTTCTTGCACACTGACGGTCAGAGAGGTCTGAATTCGAGGCAGACGCGATTCAGAGTAGCCTTCACTTAGTAGGGAAAATGTAAAAGCGGGTGCCATGTAGCTTGCTTGTATGACTTAATCTGTGCCTCCTGTAGCCCTAGGAAGGAACAAGACTGAGTGGCTTAAGGAGATGAGGCAGAAAACAGATTGTACAGGCAGCAGATTCTAGTTTTGGAAGGCTAACAAAAATGGTGGGAAACTTCTGAGGAACACCCAGCTGATGATTCCTAATCCTGTGAACAAAAGCTGAAATAACGTACTTTAGAATCAAAACTATTTTATGCCATGAAGTTAATGGGATTTTTGCCATCAGTCCTCATAGTAGTTTTTAAAGTCTGAAGTTATGCAGGCATTTTAGAGGGTAAAATGAATTTTAGAAGCTATAGTGCTTACATATAGATCTTAGAAAGTTAGGAGCTTTGGATTTGGGATTTTTTTTCCCCCAGAAATAGTACCATTAGCAAGAAATTACTGGCTTTTGTACTTTAAACTGTTTCTCCCAATTGATCATTCACATCTATGAATTACTGAAGCTAATCTTGAAGAGTTTTTCTCTCATGTCTGACAGACAATTGTACAGTAGTAATAAAAGTCCACCGTTTTGCAGGAAACGAGCTGTAATTATACATACAGCTTAAGGAAAGGCAGAATTCCTGGTTTCCCAGACCTCCAATACCACATCTTTTGGTTCAACATCATATTATTTAAGACTAACAATATCAAAACGATGCAATTAAAAAATGAAACTGTCAGCTTTATGGAACTGGCTTTTAAAAACAAGCCATCGTTCTACTGTACTCGTCAGCTAACTTAGTTCATCCTTACTCCCAGCGGAATGGGCCATGCTCTGCGGTACCTGGTACACCAATTCGTCGGCAGCACCTGGCCCCGGCTGCCCCTTTGGTGTATCGTACAGCGCCTGTGCTGATGAGGTGCTGTCTGTCCTCGATAAGAGTTTATTGTAAGTTCCAACCAGTGGAGGAGCTTGATTCCCTGCAGCTTTGAAGGTGGAAATGGAAGGAACACCCAGAGGAGTGCTGGGATGGCTGGACATGTCCATGATTATTGGAGTTGCATATTCTGGTCCAGTTATAGGTAGTGGTTCAGCATAAGCATGGTAAACTTCTTGTATAGGTGAATTGTAAGGGTCCAAATCGGCGTAACTTGCTTCTTTCCCTTCCTCCGGCTTAAAGGTTGACCTCTGATGAAGCGTGCCGACAATTCCCCCTACCAGTGGCTGAGCATACTCTGTGTTGCAAGCCCCAACAAAACAAAATAAAAACACACTTAATAGGAATTTTTACAGTGGCATCACATTAAGTACAACCTGTCAATTGTGTCACAGAAGTTATCATCCTAAATCAAACTGGGGGTCTGTCTCTGTCCGCCAGTGCCAACTGCTTTGGAGGAAAAAAGTCATTTCCACCAATAGTTAAAGCCATTGGGATAGCTACAACATCCCGACTTCTCAGGTTTATACTTCTTCCCTTGTGAGCTGCAATTTGCCATGCTGTAGATCTGCCTCAAAACAAAGTTTTTTGAAACATGCTTCCCTGCAAAATGAGAATTCAATGAAATTATCCTGCCTGGCTTTGGATAAAAGGTGGTCCTTGAGGCAGAGGGTTTGTCCTCGGAGGGAGGAAGCCTGCATGTGGTCAGCTGAGATGTTTTAGTTCAACAGGTAATCTGAGTTACAAAAGCTGGAGGTGAGAAACCTGGCTAGCTGGGCAAAAACAGACAGGCAGCCAGAAAGAGAAAAGTAATCCTGCCTGCTGTGAAGGCAGAATTCCTGCACGTCTGCGTATTTCTGCCATCAGAGCATAAGCACAGAACCAAAGGCAGTCACTCATCTTCCTCTCATGACTGGTTCACCAAGCAAAGGGCATATCCTGATATCAGCAACTCCTCCTTTTCTAGATCAAAAGAATGATTTAATCCATACAGGCAGTGTAGG